AGCACACACAGCACACACAGCACACACAGCACACACAGCACACACACACACCCTAGACATAGCAGACACAGCAGACAGCACACACACCACACACACACATGCTGGACACATACACGACACACCCCGGACACATGCACTACTGAGTATGTAGAGTCATCCAGAGTCTTTTCAAAGTTTCTCAAACACCAGTGGCAGACAACACACCGAACAGGTGCTCTCTCTCTCTCTCTCTCTCTCTCTCTCTCTCTCTCTCTCTCTCTCTCTCTCTCTCTCTCTCTCTCTCTCTCTCTCCAATGACTCGGTCTCCAATGACTCGGTCTCCAATGACTCGGTCTCCATCCAGTCTGATCTAGCACCAATTTTCGTCTGATTCACGGCCAGCATCGCCGCTGTTGCCGTCCTCCTCCGACATTTGGTCGTCATCAATGACATGTCGGTTCTTCTTCGCCTGTCGTTTTGTTCGTTCCCGCCGGGGGGGCGGATCAGCCGCTGGACTGGCCGTCGCAGGCCATTCCTTGCGAGGCCTACCCCGCCCCCTCTTTGGGTTTGTTGCTGCTCCGGTTGCTTCCACCACCTTCCTCTTCCTTCCCACGGTGCTCGTTTCCAAGTTGTCGTGCTACACACTCGCAACCCCAAAGGCGGGAACTCCAGTTCAGAGGGAAGAGCGGGAGGTGGGACAGAAGTGGCTGATTGTTTTCTCCTTTTGTAAACAAGTGCCACATCCGGTCTTTTGTCAGCGGCTTGTCCTTCTCCAGGTTGTCCTTTGTTGAGAGGGTCACCGAGGGGATTCTCCACTTGCTGATCTGTGGGGCTGGAGTCATCTCCCATCTTCTCTCCGGTTGCTGTTGCTGCCGCCACTGGTCCAGCCTCTTCTACACCTGCTAATGCATGGGCCGTTCCTGTTGCTGCCCCGACCGCTGTTGAGGCCCCGCTTGCAGTCCCCGCTGGAACAACATCGACGCCCTCTCCTCCTCTTTCCACGCTGCGACGAGGAATTGCCACATGCCTCGCTGCGTCCTCCTCCATGCGCTGCATGACGATGGCATGATCTCTCTTTGCCAGAACTTGTGCAAAAGCTCTCGCATCCTAGTTCTCGGTCTGCATGGCATTATGGCTGTCACGAGTACGGGGCAGCAAGAACTCAAGGTCACTATCCATCTGACCTGCATCCTGCCTCAATGTCATGTCGTCGTCATCGTCATCGGAGTCCTCATCTGACTCCAAGGGTGCGTGAAGCGCGAACGCCGCGGAGTTCATTTCTTCTACTTCATCCTCCTCATGAGAATCGCCATCGTCGTCAAATTCTTCCATCGGCGCTTTCCGTTCTCGACGAGATGCACCGTCCAAACATTCCACATCCTTCTGTTTCTTTCCCTTCCCCCTCCAAACCAGATCCTCCCCGTCGTCGCTGCTGTCTGTGTCACTAGACTCATCAACCTTCCCCACCTTAGGAACCCGTGCAGATGCCGTCTTCCTGAAACGAAGTCTCCGTGCCACCTCCTCTGCGGACAGCTCCCCATCGTCGGGAACAATGTCTGCATCTACGAGAGGCGGTGGCACATCTTCATCGAAGAAGTTCGCCCACATGTCGATGAAACCCGCTTGCTTATTCTTCTTGACCTTCAGCAATTGCAGGTTCCAGTGAACATAAACCAATTTGTTTATTGTTTCACTGGACAATTAGTTCCTTCTCTTCTTGTCTACCAGGTCCAATGTAGACTAGTTGCGTTCACAAGGCGTGGCAGTGCTCCACATTGTCGTGACACGCACAGCGATGTGCTGCAACGTTTCGTGGCTCTTTCCATGGAAGCTCCACCAATCTGATGCTGTGTGCTTGTCCAAGCTGCTGTCAAACTCGCGAAGTCAGTCCACAAACTATCCTGGTCCTTGAGAGACAGACTCGAATTGCCCTCTGGCTCTCTGTGGAAAGTCTTCATGGCTTCCCATAAGCGCAGGTGCTCCCGATACCCCCATGTCGCCCAAGGGGCTCTTGGGGTCATGCATCTAGCTACGGTCCCTTTTGGCCGGATTGAGGAGGAAGTTTGCTGCGTGCACAGGCTGACACATCATCTTGCAGCGTCGCCTGACCTTCTTTGCGATGGCTTTCTGCCGCTCTACCGTGATGCCTGCAATGGTCCTAATCTTCTTAACCAACGCCTCTTCGAAACCCCACAACTGATAGGGAGCAGTGTCACTCTTGTCCATCTGACGCAGCAAATCGTACATAGGTGTCATCACATCCACGACTGCCTCCACCTTCTCCCACAACTCCTCAGACCGGACTGTCAGATACACCCTTTCAGCTATGTTACGCTTTTTCCTTGCAGCCCATTTGATATCAAGCCACCCTTCCTTCATCATCGCCTTCAGCACCTTCTTGCGGTCGAGCAGCCTCTCCAACATCATGTAGACGGAGGCAAAACGCACTTCCGTCGGGATGACAAGTGTCCTGCTGCGCTCCATCTCCGAACAGTCCTTGAACAACTGCGCTGTCTTGTGGTGGTTCTTGATACACTTCACGATTGTCTTGCCCCTCTTGTGCAGTTATTGCACCCATGGCTCGTCACATATTCCCTTTAGGAGCAGGTTCAGACAATGAGCAGCACACGACACCCAAGAAATCCGCAAAATATTCACGTCCGTTCTCCTCCTCAAAATTTTGGCTGCATACTTGTTCACCTCTGCATTGTCCGTGCACAAAGCATTCACTCTGTGCACCCTGATCTCTCTAGTCACACCTTCCCACAACTTCGCCAGCGAAACTGCATTCTTCTTCCTCTTCGACATGTCAACCACCTTCAACATCACTGCCCCGCTCTCCGCAGCATCGATGAAGTTCATAACGGGCCGGAACTTCCGATCCGTGCACCCGTCTGTGATCACAGTGCAACAGATGATATCCCAACAGTCCATCAGTGGCTTGATTGCCTCCTGCGTCCGCTCGTACGCAATGTCAAGCACAACTGTGGCCATCTGCATACGGCTCGATATCTCCACACGCTGCCTCTTCTCACCCAACTCCAAGTAAAGCTCATGCAGTTCTTGAGTCTTCTCCCCTGTCACATAATTGAAGGGAGCACCGTGCTCATTCAAGTGCATCCCCCATGCAATGTCCAAGTGCTGTTGTGATGAGTTCTCTGTCCACCGCCGAATAGACGCCTGTTTAAACATACCAGTTTGTCGACCTGTCACTGACCCATCACCGGATGGGATTGCAGGCGCTGCACCACCCTCACGCACGGTGCCTTGCCCATCCTTAACCCCACCAGTCCCTTCCCCACCGTCAACGACTTCCTCCCTGCCTGGTGTTGTTGGAGGCTGCATGAACTCCCCCAACGTGTCTGCCTGTGTAGCCCGTGCGGTGTCCGTCACGGAGGTTTGACCCACGCCTACCATGATGTTGTTCTCAAGGCGGTACAACTGGATCAATCTGTTAGTGACGGGGCAGTCTATCCTTGGCCCCTTGCTGGCTATGATGTGTAGGATCTCTCCCATTCGAGCAGGACATGGGTCCCTCTTCACCGTGAAATGTCCGACTACACGCGTGTAAGACGCGGACCACACCCTGCCGCACATCTTACATTTGTGCCTCAAGGCGGTACASCTGGATCAATCTGTTAGTGACGGGGCAGTCTATCCTTGGCCCCTTGCTGGCTATGATGTGTAGGATCTCTCCCATTCGAGCAGGACATGGGTCCCTCTTCRCCGTGAAATGTCCGACTACACGCGTGTAAGACGCGGACCACACCCTGCCGCACATCTTACATTTGTGCCATTAGTAACCAAAGCCTTTAGGATTTGCCCCCGGTCTGCGCAGCACCCACTTGTATGCTTCTTTCATTCTCTCTAACTCCATCTGCTTGGACTCTGATCCAGGCTCAAACGGAGGCTTGTCGGCGACCTTTCGTTTGCCCTTGTTGTCGCCTCTGCCCTTGCCGCCCTCGCCTCCATCGCTGCCAGGTGCACCCGTGCTGCCGCAAGGACGGCTTGAGGAAGCTATGTCGTACAAAGAGGGGGTACGGAAAAAAAAATGGCAGAGGAGGTGGAGCCTTGGAATTCAAGCAAGTGATACGAAGAAGAAGAAGAAGAAGAAGAAGAAGAAGAAGAAGAAGAAAGGAGGAGGAGGAGGAGGAGGAGGAGGGGGTGGAGGTGGAGGATGGCGAGGAGGAAGTGGAAGGAAGATGAAGGAGAAAAAAAAATGCTGCAGGTGGTGGAGGAGAAGTACAGGAGGAGGAGGAGGAGGTGGAGGTGGAGGATGGAGAGAAGGAAGAGAGAGGAAGAGGAGGAGGAAGATGAGGAGGAGGAGGAGTAGGAGGAGGATTAGGAGTAGGAGTAGGAGGAGGTGGAGGTGGAGGATGGCGAGGAGGAAGTGGAAGGAAGACGAAGGAGAAAAAAAAATGTTGCAGGTGGTGAAGGAGACGTAGAGGAGGAGGAGGAGGGGGTGGAGGTGGAGGATGGCGAGGAGGAAGTGCAAGGAAGATGGAGAAAAAAAAAATGCTGCAGGCGGTGGAGGAGAAGTACAGGAGGAGGAGGAGGAGGTGGAGGTGGAGGATGGTGAGGAGGAAGTGCAAGGAAGATGAAGGAGAAAAAAAAATGTTGTAGGTGCCAGGTGGTGGAGGAGAAGTACAGGAGGAGGGGGAGGAGGAGGAGGAGGAGGTGGAGGTGGAGGATGGCGAGAAGGAAGAGGCAGGAAGATGATGATGATGATGATGAGGAGGAGGGGTAGGAGGAGGAGGAGGAGGAGGTGGAGGTGGAGGATGGCGAGAAGGAAGAGGGAGGAAGATGATGATGATGATGATGATGATGAGGAGGAGGGGTAGGAGGAGGAGGAGGAGGAGGTGGAGGTGGAGGATGAGGAGGAGGACGTGGAAGAAGATGGAGGAGAAAAAAAAATGACGCAGGTGGTGGAGGAGAAGTACAGGACGAGGAGGAGGAGGAGGTGGACGCGGAGGATGACGAGAAGGAAGAGGGAGGAAGATGAAGAGGAGAGGAAGAGGAGGAGGAGGAGGAGCATGGCAAAAAGCAGCAGCAGCAGCAGCAGCAGCAGCAAAAGAAGAAGAAGAAGAAGAAGAAGAAGAAGAAGAAAAAGAAGAAGAAGAAGAAGAAGAAGAAGAAGAAGAAGAAGAAGAAGAAGAAGAGGAGGAGGAGGAGGCTTTCTCTCTCTCTCTCTCTTTGTGTGTGTGTGTGTGTGTGTGTGTGTGTGTGTGTGTGTTGCCGCCGATGTGTGTCGCGACCTTCGATGGCTGGCGCAATGGCGCAACCTTTTTTTTGGGGGGGGCGAAGGAGGCGGAACCTTGGGGGAGAGGTAGACGATAATAATAATAATAATAATAATAATAATAATAATAATAATAATAATAATAAGAAGAAGAAGAAGAAGAAGAAGAAGAAGAAGAGGAGGAGAGGAGGACGAGGCTTTCTCTCTCTCTCTCTCTCTCTCTCTCTCTCTCTCTCTCTCTCTCTCTCTCTCTCTTTGTGTGTGTATGTGTGTGTGTGTTGCCGTCGATGTGTGTCGCGGTGGTTGTGTATCGTGGCCTTCGATGGATGTTGCAACGCCGTGACCTTTTTTTTTCTTTTGGGAAGACCCACGAAGAAGAAGAAGAAGAAGAAGAAGAAGAAGAAGAAGAAGAAGAAGAAGGACGAGGAGGAGGAGGACGCACACACACACACACACACACACACACACACACACACACACACACACACAAACTCACTCACCTGGCGATGGCGACGTGGAGCGGGCAAGGGCGATGGGCATCACTGGACAAGCGGGCAACGGGCAGCGGTCGACAAGCCGTGGAGGGTTTGCCGTCTGCCAAGAAGCGGCGCGCGATTTTGCGCTGGCATTGGAAATGCAATGCCCGCGCGAAATCGCGCGGCGACCCTTCTCAAACGGAAGAAAAAGGGCAATTTCAAGCCCTCGATCTTGCAGATCGAGGGCTTGAGATCACCCTTCTTTTTTTTTGCGTGGGGCCGGTAGGGCCTCTGGGAGAATTTTTTTTCGTGGTTTGCAAGGCCCTTTAAACCCCCAGCCGTGCCCCAGGCCCCCCAAGCTGCATTTTTCAATTTTTTTTTTTCGTGCCGCATAGAGTGTCTGGGGGCTCGCCCGGGCCTCATGCCCGGCCAGGCACCCGGGCGCCGTTCCGGGCGTGGTCTGGAGACCCGGGCGCCCGGGAAATCAGCCTAGCCTTTACGTAGTGCCAAACAGTCGGTCATTCCTCGTCCGGAGTGTCTACAACACTCTTAGGGGGGGCGCTCGGTTCGGGATGTCTGTGTTGCCTGTGGGTGATGGTGGATGGTCGTCGGAGTGACTCCCTGGCTCAGTGGGTGGTGGGAACCAACAGTCTGCGGTGTTCAATCGTGATGTGAGTAGGTGATGTGCCACTTTGCTCCGTGTTGGATGTGTGAACTTCCCCGTCTGCGCTCCACCACTACCTTGCTGCCTGTCCCGCTTGCTTCACATGTGGTTCTCTGCAAGTTGCTGTGTTCGCTTTGTGATCTGGCCGCGTTGTTGGTGTGGCCCTGCGCTTTGCTGCTACACTGCCTTGCTGCCCATCCAGTGGTCGTGCCTTTCGTGTCGTTGCTTGCATGTCTTGTAGTTTGGTTGCCTTGTTGGTGTTGCCTTGTGCTACGCTGCAGGGGTGTCGGGCTGCCTGCCCACTCGGCCTGTCGTCCCTTGAAGTGTGGTTGCCTTTCTTGTGCTACCTTAGGCTTCACTACACAGTTGCTATGCTGTTCTTCCTCTTGTCGTGTCGTTCCTTGCAGTCCTCTTTGGTGTTGTGCAGCCGTGCTGCCTCTACTGGTGCTTCGTAGGGTTGCTTTCCGCTGCTATGTCCTGCTTGGGGACAATCTGCCATCAACATGGGTCAAAGGGTTCATGACCCAAACCATCAAATACGGAGATTCCATTCAGTCTCCTAATGAGTCGGTGCAACTCTGATGAAACAATCTATCATCATCGATTTTTATTTTTTTTTCCCATGCTTGCCTTGTCCGCCGGTTGTTGTCATTTTCTTGCCTTATGTGCCTGTGTGTTGTCTGGCCTTCCGCCTCCCCCGTGCCCTCCAACCTATGTGTTGTCTTAATTTTTCTTGCTTTCCCCGTGTGCCCTTCAGTCTATGTGCCTTGTTCTGCCAACATTTTTCAACGTTGGAGCTTGTCTGGCATAGCATTCAATGTTTGGGTTTGGTATTAAAAGGGGCCTTTACCCGTCAATACACCATTCAGACCCTCTAAAAGAGAATCAGCGTTAAAGGGGTGAAAAGGGAACCCCGTGGAAGGTTCAAAATA